TTTTAAAAACTCGGCTCAAGACAAGCAGCATAACTTTAGGAAGTTCAAAATGTGATGAAAATCCACTGCCATTGAGTCAAGTCCAGCTCAAAACAATCCTCTATCAGGTTTCCAGGGCTGATAGTATTTATGATAGGAGACTACCCAACTTTCTTCCAAGGAGCAGCTACTGGATTCAAACTGCCAATTTTTCAGTTAGCAGCCTGATTACCACTACACCACAATGAGAGATGGGAGGGGGACACACCAGTCAAATACATAAAGTCCACATAGTTAGCACAGAGTCAACAATGGACGTAGAACCAGGGATTGAACAGAAACCCAGACAGACATGTGGACCCTCAGCTCAAAAGGTGCATGTGGGTACTCGTAGGCAGACTACATCACCACTTCACCACATCAGAGAAGAGGAGACCACCTCAACCCTTCGTCACCTGGCCAGCGCAGAACTTAAAAAACGATCAGGGAGACTAGCAAAGAAAGGGCTCATCAAAGCGCAAAGCATTTGAAAGATGCAGGCACTTTGATCCTTACCCTAAATTCTTCAGAGGACTATCTGGTCCCCTGGCCTAACTGTAGGACCTGCAACTTTTGAAACCACAAAAGCAGCCAGCAACCAAAACCCTACAAAGGTACTCCAGGGCTGTGCAACATAAAAAGATGGACTCAGGAACAGTCCTTTATGCAAAACTCCCATGCCCCAGTTCCTGACAGCTGTAATTACAGCCAAAATAGCTTTTTGAAAGGGAGAGAAGAGAAGAAAATAGCAGCCTGGACCAAGCAGTGAATGATGGGGTTTGGGGTAAAACACACACCCAGAGATTTTGCTGTTAATGGTGGCCAGTCTAAACAAGTGACTGGACAGCCAAACCAAACAGCTTTCTGGCCAATTAATTCCTCCCTCTAATTTAATGAGCTTCTCATTAAGTGCTGGAAACAGCTCCCAGGGAGGGAACTGCAAGAAGAGGTGCATGAGCCACAGGGCTGGCAGGTGATGAGGGAAGAGGAGACCAGGACGTCACTCCAGCCCCAAACACCTCCAGATCCCACGCTCCGGCCCTGCCCTACTTCTACGTGTTTTCATGTATGAAGTTCTACAGAGCTATGATTCTGCCACTGTCTCTCTCACTGGACAGGTTCTAGATCCTAGTCCTTTGAATCCTCAACTCAGGTTTTCACCCAAATGAGCATCATAGAGACGCTTCTGTAGCCTTTAGAGGCAGCACAGTCCTTGGTGCGAATCTCAGCTCCATCTATTACTAGCAATTAGGCTCCAAATGAATTTCTTGAACTTACAAAGCCTCTACTGCCTTACGGTCCGTGCCACAGATCTGTGTGTTTAAACCCACTGCTGCAGCTCTTGTGTAATATCTCCCAGCCTGAGTCTGGGGCTCATCTTCCATACTTATCCAGACATTATTCAGAATTCATCACATTATTCAGTTGTGATTCAGAAGTTTTCAATGAATAATCCTTTTGTCTCACTTAGCACAGTCATAAATAAACAAAATTATAGAATAAAATAAATAAAATTATAAAAACATTATTTCTATATTTAAAAGTCCACCAACAAAGATTAACATGTATTAAGTGCTGAGACAGTGGAAGCCCTGGTGACACAGTGCATTCTGTGTGGGGCTGCTAACCAGGTCTGTAGTTTGAATGCACCAGCTGCTCTATGAGAGAAAAGTCTCTTCCTACAAAGACCTGCAACCTCAAAAGCCCCACCCTCGAGATCAGGAGGTTTGGGTTTGGGAGTTATCACTGATGGTGATAGTAACATCTTCCATACCCCTTTGTCAAACTTGAAATGGGGATTTATTTTTGGTGTAAACTTGAAGGAGAGGCCAGTTCCAGGTTCAGACTTACCCCTCCTCATAACAACAATGAGGGCAGCAGCTCACCCTAACAATAGTCATCAGTCAATGCTTTCAAGTAGATTTCAACTCACGGCGACTCCCTAAGACAGAGCAGCACTGCCCGCAGAGCTTCCAAGGCTGTGACTCTCTACAGAACAGTATGGTCACACTTTTCTCCCAGAGCATCCAGTAGATTTGAATCATCAACCTCTTGGCCAGCAGCCAAGTACTTAACCACAGCACCACTTAGGGCTCCTCGGGCAATAGAATACCCCCAAAATATTTTTTTCTAGCAAAAGCCTCTGTGCTTTCTAACTGAACTAGAAGGCAAAGGAAGAGAATTCTGGGAAACATCAAACCTAAACACCCAGTGTGAAGCAGAACAGGTGACAAAATTTGCACATTCTCCTGAGAATTAGGAAAAAGTTGCACTCCGTCTCATGCCTGGCACTTCCGAGACACCTCTGACTGCTCATTTCCCCCTCTGAGGCTCAGTTTCGTTTACTAGAGGAGTGTCATGTGGCCTCCACTTCACAGCTTGTTGTATTAAACACAGTAACTCAAAGGAAAATACTGGGAAGCTGTTACTGTGTGCCACCAAGATGATTCTGACTCACAGCAACCCTATGCAATAGAGTAGAATGGCTCCATAGGGTTTTCTAGGACATACTCATCAGAGAAAAAGATTGTCTTTACTCCCATGGAGCCACTGATGGATATGAACCATCAACCTAAAAAGCTAGTTGAGGGTTTCGTCATTGCAACTCCAGGGATCCTCACTTTGAAGCTGTATATCACTATATCCATGGGGGGAAAAAAGTGTCATCGTATTCAACAGTAATTTCAATAAAAATGAGGGCAGGGAAGTCAGAGACAATGAAATTGGCTCAAGATAGATCAGAATTCAGAGCTGCTGTACATAGTGTCGCTATGAGTCGAAGTCAACTCGACAGCACATAACAATAATGATTTAAAAACTACTGAAAGATTGGGAAGGTCAAAGAACTAAAAAAAAATGTTAGGTTAATGAATTCAGAGAAACAACAGCAAGCATGCTAATTTTCTTCTCAAAATTGCTCTCACTGAAATGAGATGTCTGCCAATCAGATAAAGAATTGCCCAAAATGATGACAAGTCAAGCAAAATGAAGCATCCAGTATCTGCTATGTTTTATGAGCACATTATCCTAAAGGACAACGATGCAAAATCAAGCTACACCCAGGGATGGCCATACCCAGCCTCCTCCAAAAACCTTTTTTGTTCTAAAATCTAACACAAGAAAATAAAACTGAAATCTCAAATCTATGTATGAAATGGCCAAGTCTATGGTGATTTCTTGCTTCAAAGATAAAAACATGGACAAATCTGACAGTGATCCAAAGGCCACGTAATTCTGGTGTTATCTCTGCTCTATTTACCAGAGTCAGAAAGTAATGAGTTAGAATATTTATCAAACTTTTCTGATGTACAGGAAATGACAGAAGAAAAAGCTACAACAGTCAATGCAATGTTGTTGTTGTGTACCATCGAATCGACTCAGAGCTGACCCTCCAGCAGCTTTTCAGAGGCAGTTAATCACACAGGAGGAGATTGCCCATCTTTCTCCCACAGAGCAGCTGGTGACCTCAAACTCTGTACCTTCAGGATTGTGGCACAGCTTCTTGCCACTAGGCCACCAGAGCTTGTCAGTACAATAGAATATACAATATTTATAACAGGATAAATATAACTGAATATACAATAAACATTGAACTCCGGTGGTGTAGTCTGCAGGGAGCTACATAGATGATTCCAAGGCAGTGCCTCTCTGGTGGTTTTAGTTTTTCTCTGAGGGAGAAAGATGGGCAATGTCCTCCTGTGTGATTTACAGCCTCCTAAAACCCCCGCTGAAGGGGCAGCTAAGCGTAGGTTGTGACTCAATGGTGATGAGTGGGTGACACAATAATAGCTTTGTTTTGTTTTTAATGTTTTAAGCCAATCAGGAGCTAATTACTGCACTTTCTTCCTAAAATCTTTGAAGACAAAAGCTACTTTCCCATTCTCGCTCACCACACACTTGCAAGAGCAAGCATAGATTGCACTTTTTTTTTTTAATTCCCAGAGACAGCAACTTTTTTGGCATAAAAAATAATCTTATTTTTAAAAACATAGCTTTATTTTCCAAAGAGAAATTATTTAGGGGAGTGTGATTTACTATTTAAAAAAAATTATTTTATATTGGTTTGCTTAATCATACACTTTGTGTTTCACACTATCCTTCATTCACACTGTGCTTCATATGATCATTCCCATTTATTATGTTTTATAAATTAATCACTATTGAACTATGCCTATCAGTACCTTGTCTTTCCAGATCCCTGCCAGATGTTTCCTACTTCTTTTATCCCCACTTCCTCCACCCACTAAATTGTGCAAACCTATGATTACGCTCCTGCCCATTTTCACCACTCTGCTCATACCACCTCCCCCTTGGATCCTTATACATGGTTTACCAGGTATCTTTCTATTTCTACTGAGAAACAATGATTTCAAAAATTACTACATAACTTGAGGGAGACTAGAGAGCATTATGCTGAGTGAACTAAGTCTCATAAGGACAAATACTGCCGATACAATAACTTTTATCTTTCAAATGGCTTCAATTTAGGACTCATGTGTGTGTGTGTGTGTTTCACACTTTTCTTCACTGACATTATGTTCTATACACTCATTCCTGTACATTGTGTTTTATAATATTAATCACTATTGGACTATGCTCATTGTTATGCCACCTTTTCAGATTCCCACCAGAACTTTCCTATTTCCTTTACCTCTGCCCTTCGCTCCCCAAATTGTGCAACCCTGTGATGTTCCCCCCTACCTAGCCTCACCCCTCTGCTCCCACTCCTTCCCCCATTGTTGTAAAAACACACCTCACTTTTGAGAAGCAAGAATGATACCCCAACAGCAATCACACCTATTTAAACTTGATCTTTAATCAAGATCAACCAACCTACTCAGAGCAGCTTCCTGAACCATACAGAAAGAAGTCTCAAGTGTGAAAAGAGCATAAGGTGCAGCTATTCACTCTGGCACTTTCAGCAGTTGAGACATAGACTTCTGGCTCCACAAAGCCCCAATTCCAGTCAGTCAGTCACTCACCCGTATCCGGCGCATGGCAGCCACGATCTCCACCCTGCTGTTGGGCCTCGGTACATCCAGGCTTCCTACATACTGTGGGGAAGAAGTTAAGAGGCATTGAGAGCTGGAACCGCAGGAGTCCCATCACAGAATGTTAACTGTACAAAGACTGGGAGGTGAGTCAGTTCATTCTCTCCATTTTATTTTATAGAGGAAGATATTAATGCCAAATCAAAACACTGATTTGGTTTCAGATTGAGTCCAGCTTTACAAAAACCAATTTCATATGAAATCATCGTTTCTTTTTATAAAACTGTGGTAAGATATATAATATTATAGCTCTATCTATCTATATATATAGAATTATATATCTATATGCGTATATATGTATATATGTGTATATATATATATATACATATATACATACACGTACCTATACACGTGTGTGTGTATGAGTGTGTGTGTATACATATATACGTGATGTTGTTATTAGATGTCATCAAGTAAACTCTGGCTCACAACATAAGGAAATCTTGTCTAATAATGTGCCAGCTTCACAATTTCAGCTCTGCTTAAGCCCACTCTTGTAGTCAATGTGTGTGTGTGTGTGTGTGTGTGTATGTGTATAAAATGTGTAATTATATAATGCAAACATGTGGTTATATAATATCTAATAATATATGTAAGGATATAATATGCATATGTATATGTACTACAATTTTAAATACACATATATATTTGTCGACCTTTTTTAATATGTACAATTCAATGGTATTGTACAACACTGCACTATATAACATCACTAGCACCGACTTCTCAACTTTTCCCTTACCCTTAACAAAAGCCTGATATCCTAAGTAATGGTCTCACTCCTCCTTTTTCTCTTGATTCTGAAAACTACTCAAAATTAAATATGGAGCAACCATATAACACAGCAATCCTATCTCTAGGTATGCACCTAAACAAACTCAAAGCAAGAACGCAATCTTGTACGCAAGCAATCATCTCAAGACTATTCACAATAGCTAAAAGGTGGAAACAGACAAAAGTACATCGACAGGTGAATAGAGGAGCAAAAATGTGGCACATCAGTACTACAAGTTACTGAAATTCTGATGCAAGTTGCTACACATGAACTCTGCAAATATCACACAGGCACAAAAAACTATTATTGTATTATTCCACTTCTAAGAAGTAGGCAAACTTATTGTTTCATTTTTATTATTGATTATCGTTGTTTTCTTTTTAATCAGAATACACCACAACATTGTTTAATCAAGGGGTTTCAGGATCAGAAAGATTTACAATTTGAGGAAAGGCACTTATCCTTTCTTTGTCTCAATTTCCACATTTGTAAAATAGAATTTCAATAAAGATTAAATGAGAGAAAGCATACATCTCTGACATTGGCACTTGGCACATATGTGAACTAACTCAGACCCATAAGGACAAATACTGTATAAGATCATTATTGTTGAATGTGTACAGGGATCCAAAACAGGGAGAAAGGAGCAAGAGGTGAGGAAAGAAATCTAAGGAAGAACAAAAGAATATATTAAAACAATACAAAAACCCACAAGAGAATGTCACTGAGTTAGCCCCAGATGTTATGTTGACCTCATACATTGAATACGATTCTGACAGGAATAAAGGCATGGACCAAAAAAGTTACTATTTTATTAAAAGTTAATCTGATGATAGCTTTAAGTTATTATTTAAGCCAAATCACATCCAGGTTAATTTTTACCATCAGTATATTCTTACTGTAAATGACTCATATTGTTTGTTGTTGTTGTTAAGTACTGTCGAGTCATAGATGACTCACAGCAACCCTATGAACGAAAGACCTGAACATTTGTATAACTTTCATTGTTTCTCCAAGTCCATAGACTTTCTGGAGGCAAGCTATTTTGGAAGTGGATGCCACTCTACTTCCAAGCTTATTTTAATCAGGGAGCTCCACCAAACACTGTCCACCATGGGTAACCGTTATCACATCTGACACATCAGTGTCACAGTGTTCAGCATCACAGCAGCCACAAGTTACCTCTGTACAGTAAATGGACAGACTAGTGCTATACCACTTAGAAGAATGTTTGACCAAAAACAATTAAAACCAGACCTGAGAGCCACAGATTAAAATAATCCACACCTTTGGCTTGATAGCATCACTTTCTATATACTAGGCCAATGGCGTCAACAACCCAACTCATAGAATATAGAAATATGAAGGGCAAATAATAAAGTCTTCCCTGTAAAAGTTGCTGTTTGTCTCTCTTTCAGTGCAAAGAAAGACTTATATATTCATAGAAGCACAGGGAAATTCATTTTATGTAAAAAAGTTCACACTATTGATACTATTTTGCTATTTGCATTTTAATTTTGAATACAACTTGGGCATCTGTCCATGTCAGGGTCTATCATAAGATGTGTAATGACTCCCAACTGATGGTTATTGCACATCATTTCACTGTTACAAGCAGTGCCTCCATAAAACACCTCATCCAAAAATCTTTGTACTCATCCATTATCTCTTTAGGCTGAATTTCTAGAAGTGGGGTTGGTGGCATTCTAACTCCTGTCCCGCCCTATATAAATCCTGAGGTTTCTAAACAGAAAAACAGATTTAGGAAGCTCTGTCTCCTATAAGCTAGCATAGTTGTTGTTGTTATGTGTCATTGAATTGCCTGTGACTCATAGTGATCCGTGTACAATAGCTCTGAAGCCTGCTCTGTCCTGAGTCAGTCTCACTGACTCCTGAAGACCTACCCTGATTGCCTCAGTTACTTTATCAATTAATCTCATCTGGGGTTTTCCTTTCCTGCCCCACCTCCACCCTTCCAAGTAAGATGTCCTTCTCTAAGGACTGGTAAAAACTTTTTCCTCTCCAATCCCTGTCTCCAAGATTTTTTTTTTCCTCCCAGCAGCAGGCAGTAAATACGTGCTTTTCTGTTAAAAGGCTTCATGGATTAAAAGGTATGTTGTTCTTGTTGTTGTTGTTGTTGTTATGTGCCATCGAGTTGATTGCGACTCATAGCAATCCGATGTACAACAGCCCTAAACTCTGTTCTGTCCTGTGCCAATCTTATTGTCTCCAACACACTCATCCCGATTACCCAAGTCACCGAATCAATCCATCTTCTATAGGGCCTTCCCTTCCTGCACCTGCCCTCCACCCTCCCAAGCATGATGTCCCTCTCCAAGGACCAGTCTCTCCTTACAACATGACCAAAGTATGTCAGACAAAGCCTCAGAATCCTTGCCTCCAAGGAGCAGCCTGGTTTAATCCTCTCCAAGATGAATCTG